ACTCCATCCACATTAAAGTCGACTCTACCTTGAGTAGGCAACTCTGCTCCAGTTGTGTTCTGAGTGCCTTCCAACCTGAGGGGCTCACCTTCTGGCACTGTACCAGACCTTCAAGGCTATTTCTAATGATTTCCAGTAATATATCAGACAATGTTTTACTGCTATTCATAAAGTTTTCACTGGCCAATTTTTTCAGAAGTGAATGATCCTGTCCTTCTTCCTAGTTTGTCTTAGTCTGAAAGCTCTGCTGAGCTATCCACCACAGATGACTCTCCTGATATTTGTAATACTGATGGCATAACCTTCAGCCTCACAGCAACATGCAAGCCATCACAGTATGACAAACTGACAGACAAGTGGTGGAAAGAAATAAAGACAGCTATAGATTTTTCCACAGCCAGTGCTTCAAAATAGAAGTGATATTTATGAGGGACAATATTGCCCAAAGATTTTATATTTGATTGAGATTTTCAAGTACAAAGGCAACAGATGAACATTTTCCTTTGGTCCTTGTCATTGCTGATAGAATCTTGAATGTCTTGCTCATCAGAGCCTGTCAAAAGATATGGCCTTATACGCACCCTTATCTTATTTGACAATAAAGTAGCTTTTCTTAAAACCAAACAGAACAACAATAACAAAAATAAATAAATAAACTTATCTTCTTGGTACATTGATTCCATGCAATCCCAGTCAAAATCTTACCATGTTTTTTGTTTGGAGTTTACCAAACTGGTTTTAAAATTTATATGGAAATGCCAAGGACCAAGATTAGTGAAGATACTCTTAAAAGAGGAAGATGAAGTTACCTGCTCTACCAGAAGGAGATCTGGTTGCACAATTGTTAAATCATTAGGATGCTATCCATAGGTCAGCTGGTTTGAACCCACCAGCCACTCCACAGGAGAAAGATGAGGCAGTCTGCTTCTGTAAATATTTACAGACTTAGAAACCCTGTGAGGCAGCTCTACTCTGTTCTAGCTGGAATCAACTTGATAGCAATGCTACCCCCCCCCCTTTTAAAAACATCAAAACTTACAAAGCTACAGTAATGAGGTATTGGTGCAAGCTTAAACAAATAGAATAATGAAACAGAACAGAGAATTCAGAAACAGATGTGTACATAAATGTATAATTTACTGTAGATGACTGAGGAAAGGAAAGTGTCTTCAATAAACTGATTGAGCAATTAAAAATAAATAAACAACCTTCACCCCTACCTCTCTTCAGTCCCAAGATAAAGATATCTGCCTACATTATTTTCTAAAAACTTTATTAAAATATAAATCACCTTGACCCATTCTCACATGGTCAATGTATAGGTTCCTCATGAGTACAATTAAGTGTTCAGAAATTCCCATTCTTCTCAATGTTATCCACAATTTGTTATGATCCACACAATCAAATGCCTTTGTATAGTCAGTAAAACACAAGTAAACATCTTTTTGGTATTCTTTGCTTTGAGCCAACATCCATCTGATATCTGCAATGATATCCATTGTTCTACATCCTCTTCTGAATCCAGCTTGCACCTCTGCAAGTTCTGTCAATATACTGCTGCAAACGTTTTTGAATTATCTTCAGTAAGATTTTACTTGTGTGATATTAATGATATTGTTCAATAATTTCCACATTCTATGGGATAGCCTTTCTTTGAAATGGGTACAAGTTTGGATCTCTTCCAGTCAGTTGGTCAGGTAGCTGTCTTCCAAATCTCTTGGCATAACTGAGTGAGTGCCTCCAGTGGGGCATCCATTTGTTGAAACATCTCAATGAGTATTCCATCAATTCCTGGACCCTTGTTCTTCTCCAATTCTTTCAGTGCAGCTTTGACTTCTTCCTTCAACAATACCATTGGTTCTTGTTCATATGCCGGCTCCTGAAATGGATGAAGATCTATTAGTTCTTTTGGGCACAGTGACTCTGTGTATTCTCTTTCACACTACACCTTTATATTCTCTCCTACCTCCCATTCTGCCCTTATGACAAGGTATTTTTAGGGGTGGTAATATATTTTTAAAGAGGCTGCCAGTGTACCCTGTGGGCTTGAAATGCACTTCTAAGGGAGTTATGTCCTCAGATGTCAGTATGCCTGAGACTACAGTTAAAACAAATCAGAATCAAACCAGTTTTCATTGTGTAGACCCATGTGTGTCAGAGTAGAACTATGTTCTTACTGGTTGATTTTTTTCAGAAGTATATTTCCAAGCCACACTTTCAAGGTGCCTCTTCATAGACTCAAACCACCAATCTTTCAGTTAGTAGCCAAGAGTTTTAACTCTTTGCCACACCTTACCAACAATGCTCACCCATCCCTGAAAAGCCTTGTCAGAGAGTTCTTATACAGTCAGGGAGACCTGGATGGCCATATGATTCTGGGGACAAGTTACCCTAAGGTTTCATGGAGTTCTGGAAGTTCAGAGTATTCTACAGTGTCAGAATATTTGGGGAAGTTAAATGTCCGTGTCTTCACATGGACCATGAGGGGCTAAAATTAATCTGGGGATAATTTGACCTATGGCATTAAGGTATCATTGAAGGTTGAAGCCTTTAGGCAATGTCAGAGAGATTTGGAGGGTCATTGTTCTTAGGTTCAAGATGTCCTGAAAGGTTATGAATAATGAGAATTTCTTGGAAATTCAGTGTCTGAGTGCTATAGCATCTCAGTGCAATTTTGAGATCAGTGTTGTATTGGGGACTCTCAGAATGTCTTGACAAGTCTATGTAGAGTTAAGGAGTCCTAGGTGGTTAGAATGACTATAGATAGACAAGGTGTTCTGGTAAGACCAGAATAGAGCAGGATCTCTTCAAGTTAATGGTGTTACTCTGGGAATATTAGGTTGCTTTGCAAGAGTAGAATGCTCTAAAAGTCAATATGATCTTGAAGGGTCAAGTTCCCTCTTATTGGGCCAGAGTGACCTGAGAGGTCTGGATATCTGAAGTCTAGTCAGACTGGAGCTCTGGTGGTGTAGTGGTTAAGACATTTGACTGCTAACCAAAAGATCAGTGGTTTGAATCCATCAGCTGCTCCTGGAAGAAAGATGGGGCAGTTTGTTTCCATAAAGATTTACAGCATTAGAAACCCAATGGGAGTAGCTATGAGTTGGAATCAACTCAATTGTAGTGAGTTTGGTTTGAGTTTGAGTCAGACATTCTGGAGGAAATTAGTATATAAAGGGGGTCATATTACCTGGAAGCTGTGTAAATCTGGGATGTTATAGTGTCCTTGCATGGTCACAGATTAAATAAGATGCTCTGTGTGTTCAAACCCAGGATGAGTCATGATGGTCATACTGAATTAGAATATTCTGGAGGAGAGTGGAGCAAGGGGAGGACTAATCTCCTCAAGTTCTTTACAGTCATTCAGATCACCTGAGGACCTCTTACAATGCAAATTATGATCCAGTAGGCTCAATATTCTGCACTTCTAACAACCCTCCTTGTGCTATTGATGCTGCTTATTCTTGGATCATATTGTGAGCATCAAGATGCTAGGAAATTATGACATTTCCTCACTTAAATTGTCAGGGTACTTTTAAAGAATTTATATGAGGGGATAGAATGTCTTTGGGGATAAGACTGTCTTATGGGCACAGTGTGTTCCAAGGCTTAGAGTGTGTTAGAGTGTTCTCATAGAGTCAATGTGTTTCTAAGAGGTTATAACTTCATGGAACAGATTATATTTCCTTATAGAAATTTAGGTATCAGAATGGGATAATAATATTCTGAGTATCAGAGTGTCCTAGAGAGTCCAGGGATCCTGGGACTATCAGGTTGTCCTTAAAGGGTCAGTGTCCTGGGAGTTCAGGGTGTCCTGGGAATGTCAGAATAGAACTCTTGGGTCTATGTAACCTGAGGAGGCAGAGTATTGTGGGGGTCTGAGTGTTCTGATTGGACAGAGATTTATGGGTGTGTGAGGGTTTCCCTGAAGAATCAGAATGTTATAAAGACATGATTCAACACTTCAAGGTCAGAAGGCACCTGGAAACCAGATGCCTTTGATGGTCAGTGTTTTCTGAGGATTTGGGTGACTTGATGGTCATGGTGCTCTAGGGGTTCTGGATGAATGAGGAGGTGACTTTTGGGGAAAGGAATCAGAGAGTACTCAAATACCATGGTGTCCCACAGACACATCCAATGGGTTGGGTTCAGGGTATCCTGAGGGGTGGTTAATATATTCTGAAATATTAGAGTATCCAGGAGGGATAAGAATGTACTTATGACTTTTAGGTTTTTGTTTCCCGGAAACAGGTCCTTGGGTATCACCCACCTGCTGTGATCTTGGGTAGTCTGTGTGCCTGGCCTCTCGCTTGCACCCTTTCTCCCCTTTCAGTGGGGCTTTGAGAGGGGTCTTAGGAGGAATGCATTTTCTCCTCCTTCCCAGCCTGCTCCCAGGAGGGGATTTAACAGGACAAAAGAATTGGTCTCTGGGAATACGAGAGCTCTTGGCCCCAGTCCCTGGACCCTCCAACAGAACACCTTCCCTCATCCGGCTTGTGATCCTCCCCTGAGAAGGGGGCTCTGGTGACCAGGTAATGATTGGATGAGACCACAGGGGGGTAGAAGGAGGTCACTCCTCCAAGACTCAGAGAGAGACTGGTGGGTGTGGGACTGCAAGCTGGGTAAGGGAGGTAGTTGAGAGAAAAGAGAGAGAGCAGGGTTCCTGTGCAGAGAAGGGACAGGGTGAGAAAAGCAGAAACAGGACCAGAGAAACAGAGTGAAGGCAGGACAGAGAGAGTGATATGTACTTGAGTGAAGGAATAGGGAATTAGAAACACAGAGGAGAGAGTGAAAAAGACAAAACTATCTCTCTATCTCTATATGTTTATATCTATATCTCCACACATACACACACAGATGCAGAGAGATATATAAACAGAGAGAAAAAGAACAAGACAACAGGCATAGAGGGAAGGAAATGATAGAAACAGAGAAAGACTGACATAGAATCAGATTCAGGAACACAGGAGACTGGAAGCCTTTGGTCTTCATTGTTAGCCATGGAAGCAGAAAGGAGGAATCAGCAGAGTAAGCAAAAAAAGGGAAGAGTTCACGGCAGCCTCTTGCCTGAGAGATACCCAGACACTGAGACTCTGACCTCCACTGTGGGTGAGTGAAGCTCTGGGGTGTGGCTTGGGCAGCAGATGTGGGGTTTAGTACCTGGGTTCCTGTGGAGGAAATGATTTGCCATGAGGAAGATTATGAGGAGAAATAAAAAGTAGCATCTTAGAATGTTAAAACTGTGGAAAATCTTAGAAACATCTAGCAATACAACTCCTTCACTTTATAGACTGGGAAACTGACACTCCGGCATTGAGGGAATAGCACACATTAGGTAGGGGCAGAGCAAGTATTGAAATCTGTCTCCTCACTCCCAACTTTGACCCAGGACACTGGCTTCTCTGAGGGAAGGAGCTGGAGGGATCAGGCCTTTGGCTCTAGGGATATCGGGGACCAGTGGATCAACACATGTGTCCCCAAGCTGGGCATCAAGCTATAAAGGGCAAGTCTTTGGGTCCCCATGGGGATGAGTGCCTCAGCTAAGGACATCTCTTTTTCTGAGTAGTGTGCCTTCCAGGTGTTTCCTTTCCCTCCCTCTTCTTTTTCCCCTGCTCTCAGACTAATTAGTGTGGAGGCTTAGTGAGCCTGTGGGGAAGAGAGGCAAGCCTTTCCCACGAGCTCAGGTTCCTGCAGGCTGGTGGAGAGGCCAAGGCAGGGATATGGGGAGAAGATGAAGTGTACCTAGGGCAAGAGTGTGTCTGAGTGGAAGAGGGGGTGAATGATTCACCTTCCCAGGTGAGGGGTATGTGAGGATGGGAGCAGAGTAATGAATGTTGAATGTAAATGGTGAGAGTAGAGAATGGGTCATAGTCATCTCATATAGAGACTTAGAAAGCTTGTTAGGATGTGATTAAAAAAAAAAAAAAAAAATAGGAGATCCATTGGGTGAGGCCCAGGTTGGTAATGTGAGTACTGAGAGGTGAAAGACAGATGGAGGTGCATGGGTTACATGGCAATGTGTCTGGGGAAGTATAATAGGGAGTGGGCATGCAATGGGTTAATGATGGAGACATGAGTGGCAAGATGTGGAGCTGTTCAAAGGCATGTTCCTTATGTCAGAGTGAAGCAGAGGCTGAGGCTGATCTGGGTCCAGGAATGATGTTTATAGAAGGGCAGGGTATATGGAAGTGGAGTAGCATGTGGCAGGGGCTGAGCAGAGCCCAGGGAACCAGCATATGTGGAGCAGGAGCTGGATAAGTGGTTCACTCTGACACCACCTCTTTCCTCCCCTGCCTTCTCAGACAAGAGCACGCAGCCCTATAAAAGGCTCTCTGGTGTGGGGGTGGGGAGACCAAGACTTTCCCAACAAGGAGGACAGAGGATTTGCCCGCATCCTCGGCGCCGACATCGCACCACCTTCAGCCCAGTACAATTGGAACAGTTGGAGTCAGCCTTTGGAAGGAACCAGTACCCTGACATCTGGGCCCGAGAGGGTCTTGCCCAAGACACAGGCCTCAGTGAAGCCAGGATCCAGGTGATACCCCAGACAGCCCCCTCTCTCTGGGAAAAAATGCAGGTTCAGTGCTGGGAGAATGCCTGGTCATGAACTCTCATGGACATTATAACCTAACATCTGTCAGAATGTAAGCCCCATCTAACTGCCAATATAACTTCATGTGAAGCATGAGTGTCACTGAGTTTAACCTTAGCTTTAACCTAACTTCATCCAAATTTTTTAACACTTAATAGTGATCTGAATTGTAACAGGATTCAATCCTAACTGCTCACATACATTCATAATTTTGTCCCTAACCATAGCCTTGAAACTGAACTAATCCAATGGTTCTTGATGATAAAATCAATTAACCTCAAACATAAACCATATCCTAAATCTGATCTTATCTGTAACAATTAAATGCTAGCCCTACATCTAACCCTGGAGGAAATGTTCTCTGGGGAGGGAAAATGTCACCATGTTGTGTTTATTCGTTTATTGTTGGAAATTGATATTTCTTATCCAAAGTGGCAGAAATTGGGCACATTCAGGTGCAGGGTGGGGGTGAGGTTGAGGGTCTCCTTGTGTCAGTAGACCTGGCTCAGCCATTCCTCTTGGGCAAGTTTCACTTCCTCTGGCCAAGTGGAAAAGGCATATTCCCTGTTCTTGTACACCTTTTTGTGGAGCTCTAATGGCACAGTGGTTAAGACATTTGGCTTCTAAAGTTAGGTGGTTCAAACCATTAGCCATTTCATAAGAGAAAGATGAGGTAGTCTGGTTCCATAAAGATTTATGGCCTTGGAATACTATGGGGCAGCTCTACTCTGTCCTATAAAGTTGTTCAAAAACCAAAACCAAACTCACTGCCATAGAGTTGATTCTGACTCACAGAGACCCCCTTTGGGTTTCTGAGGCAGTAGATCTTTATGGAAGTAGAAAGCCCCATCTTCCTTCCACAGAACAGCTGGTCTATTGCCCCATCTTCCTTCCACAGAGCAGCTGGTGGGTTTGAACTGCCAACCTTCTGGTTAGCAATCAAATGCCTTAGGCATTGCACCACCAGAGCTCCTTATAAGGTCGTTAGGAGTTAAAATCAGCTCCATGGTGTGGGTTCTATGGGTTCATCTTTGTACTGGGAGAGGGGGTTGCATGCGACAGTGCCAACTATTTGATGTGGCTGTTCTCTGCTTCCTCAGGTCTGGTTCCAGAACCGCAGAGCTAAGCAGCGAAAGCAAGAGAGGTCACTGCTCCAGCCACTGGCCCATCTGTCTCCTGCCACCTTCTCTGGCTTCTTGCCTGAGTCCTCTGCTTGCCCCTACTCCTACCCAACACCACCTCCACCAGTAGCCTGCTTCCCTCACCCCTATAACCAGGCCCTTCCTCCCCAGCCTACCACAGGTGCTGCCTTTGCTCTACCACACCAGTCTGAGGACTGGTATCCCACTTTGCACCCCACTCCCACTGGTCATTTGTCCTGCCCTCCACCCCCACCCATGCTTCCCCTTACCCTTGAGCCACCAAAGTCCTGGAACTAAGATCAAACAAGTACTGATAAAGTGATTCCCAGCCTGTGACACTCATGAAACAGAAAACTAGGTAAAGTAGAAACAGTAAGGGGTAGCTCAGAGATTTGGAATTAAAAATTGGGAGCTCATGATTAATCAGTAAGGTGACTGAGAGATTTTGGGAAAGAGGATTACTGGAGGACATATGTAAAAAGCCTTAAAGGGGGAACTGGTGGTAGGGTGTTATGGATGGAGGTGATTGTTGCTGCTGGTGAAAGGAGATGATGGAAAGAGATGGAACTTTAGGAGCTTCCTTCAGTGAGATCATAATTGAAGATCTTAATCCCAATTGTCTCTAGCTGATTTCAATGAGACTTTTGATGTGAAATCTACCTATACATCCCTTCCCTACCACTGAAATCATTCATTGCCATTTTCTGCTCTGTCTAATAAATATCTCTTGAATTTACTCCTCTCCTTTCCATACTACCAATTGGTTTGTTTTTCTGGCTCTAAATTGTCTAACCTGGAGCACTTATTGTTTCATTGGTTCTCTTAACTCTAGCCCTTTCAACTTCCTATTTACCTTGCAACATTTATCATCAGTGCCT